AACAAGGAATGGGAGAAGCTGGTTATAGTGGGGTACGCATCGTAGAGTAGCATGCAGGATTTGCGAGGTAATGGGAGGCTGGAAGAAGGAACGTGGTGTATATATGGTGGCAACTTTTTCCACACACACACACACACACACACACACACACAAATGTACATCGAGGCGCCCACACATGCATGCGCTCAAGCACACGCTCATGTACATGTTCGTCTGTATATTATATACATCCTTATCATCATCATTGCCTTTCCCATCCTTGAACAAACACTTTCCACATTTGGCTATCATGGCCTAACCTCGTGGTATTTTCCTTTATCTTCCCACTTTTCCCTACATTTTTCTCCATGACTCTTATGTGTAAATTTATACACGTATACAGTCAAGAATCTTATTTTTTAATCATCGCCAGTCTTTGCAGTTTTGATTCTTTCCCCCACAACTTTGTTCAACCAACTCGCAGGGTCTTGTTCTTATTACCACCTCTGTTTTCAAAAACTTACTCCAGTTAGGAACCGTTCGGTCATGTTACAAGTATACACTTATTATTCTCCTGTCAGCCAATGATCTTAATAGTAATTGTAAGGCAGCGTGGTGGAATCAGGCTCTCGTCAATTTTTGGCCATGTAGAAGTATTGGTATCATCTTAAAGCTTGTTCATTTGCTTTGGATGAAAAAATATCCATTTATCTTGAATACAAGTCGAGATATTTACGAAAGAAGTAGGTGGGGGTCACCTGTTTTCATATGTAAAATTAGTGAGAAAATGGACGCCAAAGATTAGTTATTTCTTTAGCTTAAGAGTCCATGGTAACTGAAAATTTACATTTTCTGTGCCTTTAATCAACATTTTTCAGAAAAATTCACACAGAAATGAGTTCTTTGAAGGGCATGAAAGGTGTTGAACTAAAAAACAAAAATTTGATAAAAAATTCACAAACCTGCAGAAAAATGCACGTTTCTTCACTTTGATTATTTTGACGAGAGCCTGATTCCACCGCGCTGCCTTACCTATTTGGCCTGATTCAGATCTACTTTATTTGTCTAAAATTCTAGAAATATTGTCTTGGACCAAGTTTATAGCTGATCTGAGTTATGACAACCAGTGTGATAATTTACAGTAGGGCTATAAGGAGTTCCATAATGCTTAGACTACTCTTCTAACGGGCGATGACAATGAGAAAGTATCCTTGGACTTTTAGATCTCAGTGCTGCTTTTGATACGACTGGGGGTTCAATCCTTCTGGGACGTTTTACGTAAAACGTTTGGTTTTTCTGTAACTGTGTTTGAATGATTTACGTCAATTTTGACTGGTCGCTCAGTCAACTTGTGATCTCTTTTGCTTAAGTTAAGTTCTGTTCTATGTATTAGCAACAAAGCACCACAATAATAATATCTTAAAGACATTACTGAGTCATACTTACCATCAAGACATTTGAGATCTGGATTATGAATCCAATGAGAGTGTCCTCTGAAAGATCTAGATCTAATAAGTTGGACGGGAGAACGTTTTCTTCCTTTGCCCCCTACTAGAATTTGGATTTTAGAGAGAGAGAGAGAGAGAGAGAGAGAGAGAGAGAGAGAGAGAGAGAGAGGAGAAAGACAGAGTGTATGTTAGTGTTAGTGAGTGAGTGAAAGAGAGAGAGAGAGAGTGTTTCAGAAAAGTCTAAAGACAAATTGTTCAACACTATCCTGTGTCATTATCCTTGCTGGTGAGAATTTGTGTGGGTCTGTGAGTTGCATTTGCGTGCGTGTGTATATGTGTGTGTCTTTGTTTGTTTTTTGTATGTGTGTTTGTATGTGTGTGTGTGTGTGTGTGTGTGTGTGTGTGTGTGTGTGTGTGTGTGTGTAGTTGATTTTGTTGTTGTTAATAGTTACACAAAGAGCATTTTCTGAGGGGGTTTTATGTGTCAGTTACGTCTAGTGATAGTTCTGCATTGTACGGCGCTTAGAGTTTTTTAATTAGGGGATGTATTATAAGTTCCCATTATAGTCATAGACAGACAGACAAACAGACAGACAGACAGACAGACAAACAGGCAGACAAACAGACAGATAAACAAACGTTAAAATAATTATAATTATATGTCTTTCTCTTCCTCCTCCCAAGGTAAAGACCATCCCGTGGAGATCCCTACTTCTGTCAGGCCCGGTGTGGGGTATCCTGGTGGCTCACATGTGTGGAAACTACGGAGCTTACATGTTGCTCACCAAGATACCTGCATACATGAAGGAAGTCCTCAAGTTTGACATCAAATCCGTAAGTTGTTGTTGTTATTTTGAGGGCAAGCGAGGCAGAGGAAGGCCCAGAACGACATACTTAGGGAACCTAAACAAATGGGTAACTAGAAAAGATCAGGGAAACATAGCTTTTTTGAGAGCATCCGAGCAAGGGAATGAATGGAGAACCATGATCGCCGATGTCTGTCGCAGATCTGGCACTGGATGATGATGATGAGATATCTATAGATCTATATCTAAAAGAAAGTTCATGCGAAGTTGGTTTAAGATCTGTAAATTTATAAATTTGTTATGCTAACAAATGGGTTGTTTGTTTGTTTGTATGTATGTTTGTTTGTTTGTTTGTTTTTTGTTTTTGATCATTTTTTGTTTTTGATCATTTTTTGTCTTTGATCATTTTTTGTTTTGTTTGTTGGGTGGTCAAGAAAACGCGTCAATCCAAATATGGCATCTGTTCTTGTGGCATTAGGCTACCCTGTGTGTGTGTTTGTGTGTGTGTATGTGTTTATGTGTGTGTGTGTGTGTGTGTGTGTGTGTTTGTTTGTGTGTGTGTGTGGAGGGGTGGTGGTTGTGCCTGTTTGTATGTGTATGCTGGTGGTTATCGGGAGCTCTGTGTTGTGTTGTAGTTTAATTCCTTCCTACCTATCAAACATCCATCGTCCTCATCTCTCCTTTTTTTGCGTGTTGTCGCCCACTCGAGTGTGCGTATTATGTGTGCGCGCGTGCCTGCGTGCATGTTTAATATGTGCGTGTGCGTGCTTGCATATGTATATGATTGCGTGTGCTCTATCTTTATGTCATATCTTGGTTCATCTCTCACACTATCGGAGGCAGAGGAGCTCCCCGTCGGCCGTGATAATAAGATTCGCCCCCAATAATAATGCCTGTAATTGGCCCCGCCACAGCTAGCGGAACTTCCAATTAAACAAGGGGAAAAAGCCGTCTCTCCTCTGTGTACCTGAGCCTCCAACAATCGCCGCGGTCTTCCACTCTTCCACGTCTCTGTCTGTCTGTCTGTCTGTCTGTCTGTCTGTCTGTCTGTCTGTCTGTCTGTCT